GCATACCAAACCGCGAGGCAGAATTATTTAGATTATTTAGTATTGTTTGCAATGCCACGGGGTCAGATCCTAGAAGAGCTATGTCGTCTGCGTACTCGATGTCTGTGAGCGGAGGCCCATGGAGCACTTCGACCCCACAGGCATTAGAGGCTGGTAGTGAGTCTTCCATGATCGTATCAATGACGAAGTTGAAGAGGGAAGGTGAAAGATGACAACCCTGTCGGACACCACTGGATGTGGTGAACTCAGGAGAAATCTTCCCATAGACCTTTACACGGCCACGGGAGTTGGCGTACAGCTCCTTAATGAAATCGTGCAAGGCCAACTTCAATATTCAGTGGTCGCTCTAACGGGCACTACTCACGTACAGTGTAGGTGTACTTTGTTGATGGAGGGAGACCTAATATTAGCCATGTTTACTGTGCAGTCATGTATTCATACGTGAGACGTCACATATGTTGTCCGGTCATACAATATAATGTACTGAATGTCTATGTTTGTCTCAACACATCTTTTGGTTTGGTATAGTCGGTAGACATTCGTATTAATGTTGTCTCGCAACCGTTCATGGAGAATCTGATGATCAAGCGTAGGGTAGATTCCATGACAGTTGGGACTGGGGTGTGGCGAACCATAAGAACACAAACAATTGTTATCTCTGCTTCACTCAGGGTTCCTCATATGTTGAATGTTAATTAAAGTAAAACCAGTGTTGGATTTCTCCTTTTGAGTTTGATGCAAACTGTTGTATCCAGATTGTTTAGCTGAGTGTTGGTGTGGACATCTCGGATTTCTTTTTGCTGTAGGCTATCCCTTGCTTCCACTTCCTGCCCGTATCTTTGTCTACACTACAAGTCTTTGTTCAAATAAGTTGATGTATTTGTAAGGCAGCGAGGCACCAGTGTTCTCACCTGGTGTTGCTGTAAATGATGATAGTGATGCTGCAAAGGTGAAATAAATGACGGCATGAGCGCGTTGTGGGCAGGGTGAAGACGTGACAGGCAGGTGCGCCATTAGAAAAGTTCTTTGTGAAATTGATTTCTCCGTATTTACCTCTTAGTTATGTGGACATCCATCTGGTTGTTATTCTAGCCACCTAACTCTTACATCTGATTGGTACGAGTATCAGCCAAATGCGTTGCCCACCAAATAAGAAAAAGAGCAAACGAATCCTTTGATGGAGGTCATAGTCATCATCGATAGCATAACATATGTGTTTACCACCGACGCTGCGCTACCGCGTGACCATAGTTTATTTGAAAATTTCAGTGTGAAGAGAATAAAAGCGGATGCGGAAGGGACCTGTTGTAAGCTACCACAATAATTCCGAACTGCCTGCACCTCCAGACACTCACTCAAACACTTGGTAGAGACTGACAAGCAACCTACTGACATTGGTTCGCAACCATATCTTGCTACGCCTTCAATCATACACAGTGGAGATCATGCAGATACCATCCTGAAAGACGAATTGCACCGACAACACCCAGACTTTTGGTTGTCGATTTCGTGCCCCTCTGCCAGGCCATAGGTTGGCCACCGCTTCGTCCGTCACTCTTAATTGGGTACGCTCTTCGGAAAACGATGGTTCGGTCCTTTATTGATGATAGTTTTACCACTTTGATCCTTCATGTTTTCGCTCAACGGCGGTTTTCGGGGACCTGTCGCACATATCAACTGAAAAACTCTTCGGGTATTCTCGGATTTCTGAGCCGCTTCTATTTTCTTAGCCTTCCATGTCCACCAGGCTTCAGGTTCGGCGCGAACGCCAAGCTCCACCTGACGTCGTATAACTCGGGTTGAACTTTGTTCGGGACCAGCAAGAACAGTTTTCCGGGATTCACTCAGTCGTACTCTTCTGTTCGGTATCCACTGCTTGAGTGGACCAGTTCGCGCCGTGTCACATGCGAAACATCCAACATTATGCAGGGATGTGGCGACCTCGCACTGTGAATCGACGTGAAACATTGGGAACAGAGTCCACAAGACGATTCTAATAGATCTGCCAGCGTCTCAGCAGCTTAATGATATGTCCGGCCAGTATGCGGTCCTGGAAAGCGAAGGCACGAGTGCGTGGCCAGAATCTAAGCAAGTGTTAAAAAACGACTGACACTGATCCGCACTGTCAGTAATTGACGACGATGGGATCGATTCCGGTCCATGACGGGCATGCTGTTTGAGAACATCGTTTGGAAGACGTCTTCAGTCATTTCGGAAGTTAGTACTGCATGAAAACATTCTGCGGTCAACATAGACTTGAGGCTGGGTGAGATAGCTCTGGTGAGAGCGCGAATTTACTGACAGCAATGTGTGATATAAATTCTACCTCTGTCCCTCGTCTTCCTCTCTCTAGTTTTGGACAACCTGGAAGTATTCCAGCCCTCATGCTTCCTTCAAGTGACATGGCAGGCACCAAAAGGGTGTTACAGCTGAACGATACAGTTGAATCACTCGTTTGTCGTGCGCACCGAGTCCGCTTTATGTCGACCACCTAATAGATTTCCAGACACACTGAGTTTGCTCGCTTGTGCATTGAGACCTCTGGCAATCGCAACGATATCTGAGATTTTACATAGCCGTGAAAGGGTTTTCAAAGCGTCATTAAAGTTTTCTTTGATAGTGTCAGCTACAGGCGTTTGGGGCGTAAGTGGACACGGTAAACGTAGCTATCAGCTTCCCGCTTTTGAGGTTCCACAGACGTTGTCATACGAACTGCATAGAGGCAACCAACAATGAGTATCCAGTCAAGCAAGGGACCTTCTGCCGGGCGACTTAGGAGGATACCTACTCTTGCACGTTCTGCTACAGCGACCTCTGGGTCGCTGGAGGTTCGCGGCCGGAAGATATTGGAGAGTGGTGGACCAATTAGCCCATTCACTGTGCACAATAAACAAGAAATAGATAATTCACTTCGAAGATTATTTCGGTGCCTAGCCAGAATGCTACCCGGAGGAAGCAGGAGGACTGAGGCACTCAGGTTGCTGGAGCCTAGACAGGAGCAGTTGGGATGCTGGGGTAGGGTTCCAACCACATATCTCCCGGTAATAAGTTTGCGCCTTAAACACAGGTTTCTCGAGCTCAGTGGTTGACATGAGCGATGGACTCACACTGTGTTTGAGTGTACTTCTGTGAGCTACTTGTTCCGGTACGCAATCACGCATACGGCGGTGAAACCCCAACAAGACCAAACACCGACTGAAGTGGGCGTCCTGTCCTCATTACGATTTCATTAAACCTTGGATATCTTGCTGCTGATAACTTGACATTACCTTCTAGGTTATTATGATTGGTTCTTATGTATCAGTGCTATTAAGGAAGTGATAGCAAGCAGCCAAGCATATCTGTGTAGCATAACAAACAACGTTGGTTACGAGCATGGCTGGTCCGTAACTTAGTTGCCAATGCAGGTCACCTGATCACATGTAGTTGACAATGAAATTGCATCGGTACTGAAGCTCTGTCGCTACTGACAACTCCAATCTCAGCTGTACACGATTAACGAATTATGGAAATATTTTTCACGGCAGTAGAGGATAAGCACAACGTGTAAGTATTTATACTGAGCTGTGGTTTGTAGGGTGTTTTCAAACCACACCAAGCCCAATAGCTTTGAGGAAATATTCTTTTTCTTTTGAAATTCCAACGCAGGGATGACCCCTGAATAGAAATCTCGCGACCAAAGTACCTGAAGTTTTCTAGGATGGTGTGGCGTGGAAGCTGAGCATCGTTTGTGCCAGTTGTTAACGAAATTGACCGCCGGCGAGTCGCATTGTTTCTCGATTCACACAGAAGACCACATAAGTATCGGGCATTGAATTCTTAGTTTAGTTGTGTTTGTGACGTGGTGCGACTTGAGCCGATCTACTGAGTCACATTGTCGTTCCTCTTAACATACACCTAACGAATCCCGATACGAGGAAGGTCTGTCTGATATTTTCCAGATCCAGGTGTATCTTCACCGTAATAGTATGAAGCATTGCTAATTTGCGGCGTTTTGTAGGCATTCGGCAAGATTAGTCCTCGTGAAACCGAACGATCGCTGTGAGTATGCCGAAGAACTTCCACAAGGAATGGGGTCAGAATGATAACATGGCCAGTGAAGTGGCGTAAACTTCTATCATCTGCATGGGAATGCAGCTTAGTAATTGAAAACCGTTTTAGGTCATGTTCGAAAACACATTATGACAAACCAACAATGGCTGCACAACAAAAAAAAAGTTTTTCCTTTTCCGTTGGATACTCCCTCAGAAGCCATCACCCTTGATCGGTCCCTCGAAGTGTAGTCATGAAGGTACAAAAACTATGTATTCCCCGACTGACCAGGCAAAGATTCTACTTTTCAAAGGAGCAACATCCTCTCAGTGCTGAGAAACCTTGTTTGTTTATGGGGTTTGCAGACTGCATAGTGATCGCAGAGAGTAGCAGAGGCCTACTTCGTGTAAGAAGTCAGCCCTATAAGTGGTGACGCCACATCGTCTTATTAATGAGAAATCTAGGGCGATAGACCGGATTCCCCTCTCTGTGCTAAATGAGGTCTCCGTCGCCAAATTCTTTGTCCAAAATCATTATCAATGCGTGGTAACTATTCTTAGTCCGGTGTGACTGGGAAGTTCGAGTCTCCCTTGTTTCAACTGTAGACCTCAAGCCGAATTATTTCGTTACCGTTTCAAAGCATACTTGCCTGAGAGCCTGTGGAACTTGTGACAACGAAGGGCCTGACAGCTTTCGACAGGATTAGTCTCCTATAGGCCTTTCCAGGGACGTGTGCCTTAACCACCCCATTATTTCTCGGACAGAAGTTATTCTTGCCTATCTTCCAAAAAATCCCCTTACCGAATTTCGCACTAATCGTTGACCGGTTCTGTCTCGTTGCGGAGCATGGAGATGACTGTTTAGTTTTTTCATCACAAAGTTTTCCCAACTGATGGGAATTCACTGTTTTTCGGGAGGGCACTCATTAAACTGTAAGCGTTCTCTACATGTGCTTATGTGCTATTAGGCTCCGAAGTATCCAAAAGACTTTTGTGTCCTATTGAATTAACTAATGGTATAAAATTTCAGAGCTTGGGGTTCTACATGTGAATTTTAACTAAATATGCGGAGAGATGTGAGGCTATGAAAAGTTGGTTAATTCTTGTTGGGAATCTCGACAGTGTAGTTCTCATGGAATTACAGCGAGATTCGAACCCGTAGTCCCCAAGTAGGCCTTGGGTTGCTGCTCATCTTTGGGGCTGGATGGGGTTTAAACGGGATATCGCTTCCTTTGTCCTTCAGCCGCGCACTTCTTATCTGCTCTGTTGTGGTTGATTTTGAGTGATGAAGTCTCTAATGAAGGGCCGTCCAAGTTGGAGGAATATCGCGCCCGTAATCATGCAACAGCCATCGACCCCCTTGTTAGATTCTAGAGCGAGACAAAAGCAACCAAAACCTTTATTTTTTTAAGCCCATGAAGATTGTAATAAGGACCAGGATATTTGTTGGACTATTCTCTGTTGAATAAATTTGTTGGAGTGTTAGCAGTTATTTATTGCTGACTTTCCCACTCAGAACAACCTCTCCGACAGCAAAAAGCTGTTTGTGAGCCGAAAACAAATGACTCTTAGCTTTATGACAGAGGTACTCATAAAATTGCTTTCTAGTCAATACCAACGACTTGCATATAGAACCAGTTCGGTTCTACGAAAATACTTCATGGTTTACCTAATTTACGCCGTCTTTTAGCCACTCTTGATGATGCCGCCCGTCCGTATGCTAATTTTATTTCATTTCTTACTCATCAGTGGGTGGTTTGTCCGACTTATGCAAAGCCAAATTAAAACAATTTACCACCAAACTGCTACACAGGGTTGCTTTTTGGAGTACTGTAAATAAGGAATGTCTCAGGTTACTGCGATATCTGATAAATTGAAGTGGTTTTGCTGCTTGTCTACAGTCCTTTGCTAATATGTTGAATATTTTAGGTTGCATACTATTTGGCTCTTTTCTGCAGGTATTTTCAATTGCATTTCAGCCACATCAGTAATTGGATAGTTCATGTTATGTGTGCTGCGGAAGCGTTATCCTCTTCTTGACCTAATGTTATATTCTTCCTTTTCTGCCTGTTTCATAAATTCCGATTGAGTATTCAGTCTATCACTGTACGTTTTTGCTCATCTTCAGCTCGCACATTATGGCCAAGAGCACTTTCGAATATGTGCGCCGATTTGAATCGTTTGATCACTGCTTACCACATTCTTGGATCGTAGTTCGAATAGACGGACAGGGATTCGGTAAGTTTACAGAGAAACACGGATTCCAGAAACCGAACGACAAACGGGGTCTGCGTTTGGCATGTCGAGCAGCCGAGCGTGTAATGCAGCGCCATTCGGACATTATACTAGCCTACGGACAGTCAGATGAATTCAGCTTCGTCTTCCAACGTTCTACTGACAAGTTCAATCGGCGTGCTAGGTATGCCTCTACTCGTACCTTTGTCGTGTGTTATTGAGGTACTACTGGTCGAATGCTTTTTACTCATTCTCAGGTTTACGTAGTTTCTTTACCTAGTCAGTACCGAATGGATACAAGCTGTACTCATTTACTGAACTGATAGTTGTCATGTGTCAGTTATCGCAAACCGATGCTGAGATATACGATGATCCTTCTAGAAGAAATCCATTACCAGTTTGATTTGTACACGCGACTCCAGCTTCCTCGAATGAATGTTTGACGTGTCTGACTATTGAACCTCAGGCTGATTTTGACTTTCTTTTCTAACTCGAGCAGAATAATGCCATGACTCTCGATTGTGGACTAAAGGATTTGACAGTGCTGGTACTATCCATTAGACGGTTGCAGCTGTGCCTCTTAAATCAAGTAGTCTTCGTGTCACCAATCCAGTGATCGCACTGGTGCATGGATCAGCCAGTAGATCAGCCTAGGAAGCAACCTTTAACATGTGCTCACTTCCCTGGAGGAAATGATTTTAAGAGTCAAAGAATTTCTACCATAAGGTCCTTCCAAATAAACTTGCCACAGAACCCAACTGCTGTCATGTCTGAAGCTCTTACCCCGATTAGCGTCCAAAATTTTTGTCCTTGGTCGCAGTTAGGTGGCAGCTTCCCGTATCGTATATTCTATCTTTCAAGTAAAACTTCCAGTAGGCGTCAGCGGAGTGAAGGCATACCATTGGGTAGGAGGTAGTTAAGTGAACCATGCATGTTATTCAAGGAAAGAAATCAAAAAGCAAATTTCTCAGGGCTGTTTTGTTTCCGGTTATTAATGCAGTCAGTGTCACGTGAAAAATGAGGGCCTGATCAGTTTGATGAACAAAAAACAAATGGTTCAGTTACCCTTGCGTGTGGTGGTTGGCTGACTGTGTGAGTTTCGTAAGGAATGAACAGCGAATCTGCCTCTTGGATCCCGTAACTTATGTAGTCAGATTGTGTTCATCTGTGTGTCCACCGTTTGGCTGGTTGTAGAAGCTGAGTTTACCTATCTCTTCTGTTGACGCGAGGCCTATTCCTCATTTCACACATCCAAAATGAAGAGTGCTCATTCCCCAGATCGCTTGTGGGTTGGATGTATAAACTGAGAGTAAACTTCCACCCTTACTTCAGCTAGAGGCAAATGCATTCTCCACCTGGAGCGTGTAGTGCATTCATACAAGAGAACAAGCCAACTCAGTCGAAAGATTTGTTAGCTTGACACGTTGCTTCACTTAGTGGAAGGTGCAACTGTAACTCACGGTTTATTCAAGTAGATACCGACGTTGTTTGTATGACTCAGTCCAAACAATTTTAATACATAGAGACGAAACGTGAAGTCATTTGACTTGGTGATAGTATTAGGAGCCTTTACAAGGATAGCAGTTATCCTAGAGTGCCTTCCAATGTTCGCCAGATTTACGAAAACTTATTCGAAAGTGGTCGTTGGTTTGTTCGTTTAGCTGAACAGTTTGATTGAAAACGTTTCATCACTAGTCGAGTACCATCATTAATGCGTTGTTAGGGAGCTGAGTAGTAGTGTTACGTGGGTGTTAGGATACGTGCTGCTAGCCGGGGCCAACCTTCGATCACGATTAGTTCGGTCGGGCAGTTCCATTGTTTGCTCTGTTATCTGAATCTTGATTGGTTGATGGTCGCGTGACCTTTGCGCTTGGTCTCCTCTGCTCTTTTACTCTGGTCGATGCTGGATGCTTGTGACCCTTTTTGATCTGCCTGCCAGTAGTTCCTTGTTTCTCGGCTTGTGAATCTGATATTCGGGTCTCCTTGAGTATTCCGTTTGAGATGTTGGTCTTTCGCAAGTAGTGATGCGCAAACTGGATTCAGTTCAATGCATCGGTTGGTCGAATATGCCTTGGATTACCATGCTACTAGAAATTACCTTCCGTGTTTTGTGTCTCCGTGTGCCGAAATTTTCGTGTTTTCCAGATTGAATTTGTGGCCCTCTTGGTCTTCGTATATGGATACCAAGGATAGGGGGTCGTGTCTCCTGCTGGCAGCGTTATGACCCTTTATTCGTGTGCATAATTGATCTGGTATATCAAATTGTTCTAAAGTGGCAACTTGCCTATGATTTCCTGGAAACCCCAACAAGCGATAACCACCGTCAGGTAGAAAAATACGTAATTCTCATTGGTTTTGGGGCTAATCTGTTAATGTTACCTACGTTCCAATGATGTGTCGAACGGAGAGCAAACAACGGAACACAACTAGGAATAAATAACACCTCTGGGTCCCTTAAGTTTCTGAGCCTTCCATATACTTATAAAGAAGCTTTTGAGCCTAGGTTCTCTTTTCCCAAGAGCCGAGTACGAGATGCTTGTGGTTAAAAAACATCCTTTCTATCGGAAATTAATTTCGAGGACTGCGTCTAACCTTACGTTCTCCTTCAATAACCTTAGCGAGACAGACAATTGTAACTATGCCGCGTGGATGTCAACATAGTTTTAAGCGAGGTAAGGCAAGATGATGATCATCATCTAGCGCTTGAACACAGCAAAGATATCTACTAGTTGGGTGTCCAATGATCCGAATTTGTGAAGAAACACTGCTTTCAGTTTGTTTTCAGGGATATTACGGCTGATCGGCAGTGTTGAAATTTTGTAACCAAACTAGTTTCGCAATTGGTGTGGTACAAACAGACACTTAGATTCCGAACTTATCGCTTAGGGAATCCACACTGTCCTTCACAGAGCCGGTTTCCCTCTGTATCGACTTGGTCCCAACGCCATTTTCATTTTTGGTATTTTTATATGTCCATTTTTGTGTTGGAGTGGTGTGATTGCCGGGAAATGACACACTCCAGTCCACTGAGCGTTCGTGAAATTTTTTTGTGATCAAAATACGTATACGTGAACGAGTTCCGTCTAATCGTTTTCTCGAACCACCGGTTTCTTTCAACTTTGATTTAATTTCGCTTCCGCCTGGGGCTGAACATCTCATCATGGGCGTTTGTCACCGAACAATATTTTCGTTCTACCGATTCAACGTAAAGCTCAAAACTCAGACCTTTTGCCTTGTATTATCAAATAGCTCATCAAGTCTGAATGTCAAGAATGCAACTGTCTAGAGGAAAAATAGCTCACTGAGTAGGTTGTTGTGTTTGCGTATTCCGATACGGATTCTTGTGTGGGTAAAGTCAATTCAAATTCTCCAGAAGCAGACGTTGGAACAGTTAAACACTTATCTGCAAATGGAGATGGTGATGACCCACTTAAACTATTTGTTTGGTTGTACGTGGTGTCATGTCAAGACTCTTCATGACATCCACTCCTTATTCACGGAGATACCATATTATCTTAGATGATTCCAAAATTTTACAACTGATGGTGATAAAGGGAACTGGTTTTTTCATCGGTTACTCAATAATTCAGCTATGTAGTTGATCGTTCCTCCAACGAGTTGGTTCGAGTTGACACTGGTTTCTTGTATGCGGGGTAGTGTCGTAGACAGATGATGGATGATGATGTAGAGACGGCAAGGCATGAGGAAAGAGCTCAATACGGCGTGCCCGTAATAGGTGCTCTCGGGTTGAGGAAACACTGGAAAGAACAGCCATTCTTACTGAGTAGTACGATTATTGGCACGCGTTGTTGATTTTCCAAACGATCTTTTTACTGGAAAAATTACACTTACCGCGTGACTGGGTATCCTTTACATGGAAGCTGCAACTCTGGAGCTCGAAAACTGTCGCATGTGGAGTTTGCCACTTATATCGAGACCTTGTGTGGGTATGACCATAGTTATGTAGAACGCGAGCGTATTGAGTTTTCATGATATGCGTCCAGGTGTGTTATTGCTGCTCTCTGATATTTGGTTGGATTCTCTCAACACCTTGATTTGTGGTGCCTAAATTCTTTCGATATTTTGACTGTCACTACGTAATTACTTGACCATATAACTTTTCACCAGCTAATGAAACAACAATCATGGTCCTATGCCGAAGCTACCGGCTCATGGTGCAGGTGTACATAATCGGTGAACTCCAATTTATCGTCTGCCAATCACACTGTTCTGGACACGGTGACCACTCGCGACTGGAACTCGAGATGTGTCACTTGTGGTCTGACAAATAGTTTTTGTTTTGTGGTCTATTTAGAACGTAATCAACCGCTTCAATTTCGCAACCTAATTGCTGATGCCGCTAGCTGAGTGGAGGAGCTGAACTGCAACTGTCACGTTGGCCACTGGCATCCGAATCGGAGTTGCTGGTCAGCAGTGGTCAGACAACTTGACGTCTGTCTGTAGAGTGGGAGCCGCAGCCGAATGTGCAGGCCTGTGATAAGTCGTTAGCTGGCCCAAGAATTAGGACACAGCAATGGGCACTGGTGCCAATGACGTATTTATCGTTAATGTACCGGCGTCACCCAACAAATTTCATTTTTTAGCGTAACAATGCATCTGCTCCAGTATAGAGCCATGCGAATGTTCTGGAGAGCCGCCAGGAACAACTGACGGAACACTGAACACCAAGGCTCTGCGGATAGCGAACAGTGGGGTTGAATACGGTCTGATGCGATGCCTCCGTTGGTTAGGCCACCTACGACTGGAATTCGCATCTCAAAACTAATTGCCTACAGTCAGCCGATGAATAGAGTTCGGAATTGAAGACTTCCGAACTTCCACTTATGGGACAGTCCTCAGGTAAGTTTAAAAAGAGGTGACTTCCATCTCAGATCCTGGGAGGACCTGGCACTCGGAAGAATACCCCGGAGGATTGCATTGAAGTGCGATGGACCACACTGCCGTCAAATAAGTGAACAGTTTCGGCCGTGTGGACTCACGTACCGTGTAGAGCCACATAACTTAGTTGGGTTGGTCCCATGAGTGTACCCAGTGTACTCACCAGTCTACCTGCTAATCCCAAACCCCTGGGACCTAGGTATGTTTGTCGCGTTTTGTAATAGCAGTGTTGTGAAATGTAGGTAGCTCGGTGCGCTGCTTGGTTTTTGGCCTGTTCGCCGAGCTTGGCAGTAGGATTGCAAACGTTTCATCACCAATCGAGGTGACATCGTCAGTGTAGTGTTGAGTGGGTCTGCAGTAAACCGTGCACTGACGATGTCACCTCGGTTGGTGATGAAACGTTTGCGATCCAACTGCCAAGCTCGGCGAACGGACAAACAACCAAGCATTTTATAATGACTACCCACACGGCATTGTCATCCTAGAGTCAGTGACATCTTTGGTCTTACGGTAAGTGGAATGTCGCTAGGTTATTCGTTACCAAATTGACCGTGTGCTAATGAGCAGCCCCCAGTAACATTTGCATGATGTTTTACTGAGAAAGATGTGATATTATGTCGAAACTTAAAGGGTTCGACCAATGATGCCGGTACCTCAATCATAAACGTCACTAGTGCTAGTGCCCATTGTTACGCCCTTGTTCTTAGGTCGGACAATAGCTTGTCGCAGGCCTCTGTATTTTTATCCGACTATCCTGTTTCTTCTGATCCAAATTGGCACCAATAGCTTGGAAGCAGTGCTACATTCGGTCGAGCACAAACCGCTTGCGCACATATCTTTTGGACCGATCGCTGATGATCAGCGGATTTTCTTCTGGCGCCAGCCAGTCAGAGTTGAGAGGTACCAAACATCAGAGGAGAGCATTCTCCTCAGGACCTTCCGGGTGCTCTCCACAGGGGAACTGTATATATATATAACCTGCGTAGGTAGGCTGGGGTGCACTATGATAATATTTCCATTCAATGTACCTCGACCGTCTCGTGTCTGTTCCAATGCGCATGAAGTAGCTTCTTTAGGGACAGTTCTGGTTGCTTCTTGTTGCATTCTGTCTATCAGCTATTTGGACAACACAAACTTTTAGTTGCCTGTGGTACTATCAAGTTGCAGTAGCTAAATCAGCAGTCATTGGTCCTAAATCAGGCACGGATACCGGTCTGTTACTATAATCGCCAGGCCGCCCGGTTTTTAGCTTGTACGCTCTGTTCTATCAACCATTTTGGTGGGTGGATGCCATAGTCTACGTCTGTTTACACTAAGCTGGAAGGTGAAACACGAGTGCATGAATTACCAACTCATACGTCTATGTTTCCAGCTGTCATTTTATTGACCGCTGATTCGGATGCACCTTTTGTTGCTGTGCCTGGGCGAGCAGTAAATATGCTGTGACGGACACGTCATCGCAGTTACTTATTAAACACCTCGTATGTTTAGTTGTCGGTGTAATCCACGTTGTCTATTGTGTCAAACAGTGTCCCAAGTGTTCCACGTTGTGCGTTATACTTCATGTTACAACATACGCGCATTGTTAATCTTGGCAGTAATTTTCTGTGAGAGCAACCGTTATGAATCATGTAGCAAGACGTGTTTACCTTTTCACCGACACTTGAACTTTTTGACCAGTAGATGAGTCATCATAGGTTCGCACCAGTTAATCATCAACTCTCATGTAAATCTTAACTGAGATCCTTTCAGATTGTCCCTGGTGAGAAGACTTTGATAGTTCCAGTGTTTGACGTGTCCGTGTCTATCTCTTTACACATGGGATTTGTAAACTTCATGAAGAGAATTGTTTCTTAATCCATTGGAGGATTTCGGGACCGATTGAGTAGTCATCGTTTCAATCGGTGGCTTTATTGC